TGTTGCTGCAGCAAAGAAACACACTGTTGTTGTTTCAGAGGCAGGTGAAGTTTATACATGGGGTTGCAATAAAGAGGGCCAGCTTGGTTACGGCACCTCTAACTCAGCGTCAAATTACATACCTAGAGTGGTTGAATACCTGAAGGGCAAAGTTCTTAACTGGAGTTGCTGCAGCTAAGTATCACACTATTGTTCTAGGATTTGATGGAGAGGTATGTCAAAAATGATCAACTATTTCTCTTGTAGAATTTAGTAACAAGGCAAATTTTCTATGACATATGGTTATTGTTGTTGAACTCCATCATTTGGCAGCTGTTCACTTGGGGCCACCGGTTTGTTACACCAAGACGTGTGGTCATTGCAAGAAATATTAAAAAAATTGAAAATACTACACTAAAATTCCATCGCATGGAACGCCTTAATGTAGTTGCTGTAGCTGCTGGGATGTCACACAGCATGGCTCGTACAGATGATGGTGCATTATTCTTCTGGGTGTCCTCCGATCCTGATCTTCGATGTCGGTAGGTTTTATTTTATTTTACTATATGAAGTGTGGCTTTTCATTTGTTGGAATGTCAGTACTGAACATGGCAGTATTTTGTTTTAATATAGTTATATTCGCTGTGTGGGAGGAATATTGTTAGCATATCTGCTTGGAAGTACTGGAGTGGTGCCGTTGCTGTTACTGGTGATGTTTATATGTGGGATGGAAAGAAAGTAAAAAATGAACAACCCATTCCGACTCGGTTGCATGGAATGAAGAAGGCAACTTTTGTTTCAGTTGGTGAGACACATCTATTGCTTGTTACTTCTCTCTATCATCCTGGCTTTCTTCCCAGTATAGTTGGCGGTACTCAGAAGCTAAAAGTCGAGGATGAATTAGATGATCTGCATGAAGGTTTTGCATTCAATGATTTGAAATCTGAGGAAGTGTCCTTCGCTGTGGAAAAGGTTGAAATTAGGAATTGCACAGGACCAAGTTCAAGAAACTTTTCTGTGAACAGGACAGCTCCAAGTTTGAAAAGCTTCTGTGAGAAAATGGCAGCAGAGCATTTGGTAGAGCCACAAAATCCTATACAACTGCTAGAAATTGCAGATTCACTTGGAGCAGATGATCTCAGAAAACATTGTGAGGTATACGGGCTACCCATCTCATATTGTTAGCTGCATTACCTTATAGTTATAAGATATGGAATAAAAATTCTGGATGCAATCCTTGTTTCTGCTATTTTGGATTCCTGTTGGGCAAGCTAAAAATCTTGCTGCACTCATTCTTGTAATACTGGTATGTACTAAAATATGATACATGTGTACAGCGATGTTTTGGGGCAAGGTTGACAAGTAATACAGACTCACACCTCTGCATGATGTTCTCATTGCATACCATCACGTTACCATCAGTTGTGCTAAAATGGGACAATTGGTGAGTGCTAAAATGGGACCCTGCAGGATTAGTAGCATGACCGTTGTCTTAGGCACAAGCCATTTTTTAGAAACTTGTTGATCACCTGAGTCTGCAATTGTTGAGTCTTTGCCTAATGATGTTTTATTTTGACACATGTCATTAGTGGTGGTCATTATCAGTCCTCAGGAATTTTGTAG